TTGTGTTTTATTTATTTGCTAATGAAATAAATATCAATGTATATAATTAAATAAAATAATGATAGCTACTGCAGAGTACCAGAGCTTTACAAGAACAAAGAACGGTGTTCTGTCAGGTCAGCATACGCTGTCAGATCGTCATACGCTTAGCACAAACTCACAGCTACATCTATCAGACACGTCATTACCATATTATTTTATTTAATCAGCAACATAGAATCATGACATAGATCATCATACACTTTATTAACAGTTGTATGGCATCCTGACTTAGCGGTTAAGTAGGTTAATGAGTTTTACACAGCCATGTGTTGTAGTTCACAGCAGCTGCAGCTAGACCTGCTTTAAATACACTTTAAAACCACAACAACGCATGTATATCTGTCTATTTATCACTGAAAACAATTTAATGACTTATTTTCGTCATAGCTTGTTGTGTATAGTGAACTCCTCTGATTGTTGGACTTCTTAATGCGAATGCGCAGGCATGGTACTCACTGCATGCATGCTATCCTGACAGCGTATGGTAATCTGATAGAACAACGGCTCTCAGTGAGGCTCCAGTTCGATCTTCTTAGTAAAGATCCGTTCAGAAGAACCGGATCGTTCTTGAATGTCACATAACTATTTTGGGTAACACTGTATTTGAAGGGGGGGGAATAAGACTGACATAACACTGTCATAAACATCAATAAGGCTTCATGAATATTTATGACTGTTGTCATAAAGTGTCATTCGGTAAATTATGACACTTTTAATACAAAGTTGACATTATTCAAATTGTCTTTGTTATGACAACTTGTCATTAACCAAGAAATCATGATCTGACATAAATTTGTTATAAAAGTATTACCGATTAAACTTTAAAAATTAGCCTTATGTAGTAATATTATAAAGCTCTGCCATGTTGTTTAGTCTTAATTTTCGTAATTTAATCGATCCTAAAGTTTTACAGCAAGATGTCTACCAAGCAATTATGAACTTAGCATTTGAAACATTATTTAAGGCTGGTTTAACGCTTGTGCGTGCGAGGACTGAGGCAAACGTAGAGAACTGTGGGAAATGATAAAAGTTTTACGTGTGTGTGGTCGGTTGGTATGGACCCCATTTCAAAACACAAGGGCAGTGTGCAATACACCATCTCCACCAGTGAGAGGCAGCAGTGCACGAACAGGCGTGCAGTGTGTTGGTTAAGAAGAAATCTTCCATATTGTGGGGCCAACCGAACACACGTTATAACGGCCAGACCTCCTGTTTAAAAAGAAGCCAAAGTTTGACACCTAATAAATATGAAGTGTGTCTTATTAACTTTACATTTTCTTTGAGAAAATAACATTGACTATGTTCTCTTTCTCTGTAATGTTAGCTATGAGCAATTCAAGCCAATCCTACCTTGCTGTAGGTTAATGTTAGCTAAAGTTATTAAACACAATTACTGTAACGTTAACCCTTAATATTAAACATATTTTAAAGACAGACAAATTGTTTTTTCCCTCCAATTTTAATCTAGCAAATTAAAAGCTGATATGTTAGTCAAAGTTATCCTTCATGTGCATTATTTAGCGACTTGGCTGATGTGACACAGTGCTTGTGTTTGCTTTGGCAAGTTTAGCCACATGAAGACCCATGTTAGCCTAGGAAACATGGTGTGGGGGACAAAGTTGGCTAATGAAGACATGCTACGAGTGTGGAGGATGATAAGGATCAGCCACCAGAGAAAAAAGTTCCTGTTTGACCAAAGAGAAAGAAGCAGATGAAATATTCCCCAAGAAAATTAGGTAAGTCGTTTTTGTGTTAATATTTTCACCATGTGAAGTGGGGTGGGACAGCAGGAATCAACATTCACCAGCTGAGTTAAGTTACGTTTTAGACAACTAAAACTGATGTTAAATTGATTTATTTATTTATTAATAAGCTTCTTGCAAGCAACCCTAAGTTAGAGTATCTAGTTAGAAATAATTTAGAATGCTCATTAAGTAAAAAGATGCATTCATGTGCCTTAAACTGTGTGTTAAATGATGCATTCGAATAACAGTGGCAGTCTGTCTGAACTTCTGCCAGACAAATATTTGATCAGAATAATTTTGTTCAGCTCCAGTTATTCCACTTGTATTAAGAAATAATTGTATTGCCCTTTATAACAACCAGTTATGTTAACTAGACATTTGTCTGCCAGTCTACCATTCTGACAGTGTGCAGCAATTGACATTTTTGAAATAATATTTAAATAAATGCTGGAATATGATGACATTGTTTTTGGTTTTTGTTCTTTTTTTAAGTGACCACAATGAACTGAGTCATCACCGACTATGAAAATGTCCAGAAGAGATTCACCAAGTTTGAATTCATGAAAAGGCTTTCGCCATGATTAACTATTGCAAGAACAGCTGTAATTTCTGAGCATTTCTGGACACCTTCAAAGAGCTGCTTCCAGGAAATGAAGACAAGAAGAAGATCTCCTGTTTTCAGAGCATTACAGGAAGACTATTATGAAGGAGATGGCTGACATAATCAAAGCAAAAAATGTTACTGTTGAAAGAACCTATTTTCTTAAGTTAAAGAATAAGTAATTCTGTTTTAGTTTTTCAATCAGCATTTCAGAGTAACAATATACTGACCAGACGTTAAACCCTCTGTTATCTTAGAACAAGTTATCTTTTGTTTTATTCCAATGTACAAAGGGTTTGTTCTACAGTTATGATGGTAGTTATAAGTAGTCCAGTGTGTTTCACTTCATTTGAGGTAAGACTTAATATCAATAACTCTGTTAGCATTGCATTTGACACTGTAATACTAAATTACATCTTTATAATTGTTGCTACTAGTTTCAATTTACTTGAGGTAAAAGTTAATATTAATGACACTGTAATTACACTTAATGACGTCTTCATAACTGTTGTAACTTGTTTCACTTTACTTGAGGTAATAGTTAATATTAATGACACCGTAGTGACACTTAATGACTTTGTCATAACTGTTGTTACTTATGTCACTTTACTTGGGCTAAAAGTTAATATTAATGACACTGTAATGACACTTAATGTCATTTTCATAACTGTCGCTATTTGTTCCACTTTACTTGAGATAAGAGAAATT